TAAATAAACGTTGAAAAAAAAAATTAAAAAAAAAAAAAAGATAAAAATCTTATTGCCGCATGGATGTCTACAATAGGATGAAAGTTAGGTCTTTTTTCTAACAATTCTGTCAGACTGTTTTCTTTCAAAAGGGGAATGAGACCTCAACAAGGAGGCTGTGCCAACGGATGTGGTCAAGGAGTGCCAGGATGAGAGGAGTCCCTGGGGGGGCTCAGTCGGTTGAGCGTCCGACTTCGGCTCAGATCACGATCTCACGGTTCGTGAGTTCGAGCCCCGCGTCAGGCTCTGTGCTGACAGCTCGGAGCCTGGAGCCTGCTGCGGGTTCTGTGTCTCCTTCTCTTGCTGTGCCCCTCCCTGCTTGTACTCTCTCTCTCTATTTCTCTCTCAAAAATAAATACACACACACACACACACACACACACACACACACACAAGAAGTGCCGGGATGAGAGGCAGGTGGTGAACCAGAGGCTGGTTGAATTATCTAGAAGGGCCCTCGAAGCCGGAGATGTCTGAGATTCTACATCTGACATACCCACTCATTTCCTCCACTCCAACTCAAGACTGCTGCACGTGGCCGGGGAAGGGCTGTGCTGGCCCCTCGGTGTCATTTCTGGAAAGGGACAGACCAATCGAACCGCTTTCCTAGACCTTCTCTCCCTCACCCATCACTGTCACTTCTGGCAGGCAGAGCGAGAAAACAGTCTATATTCTTTGCTTACACAGATCTGAGTCCTAGCTCCCCACTTATCATCCGGCGACCTCGAGAAGGTCGGCTACGGTTGCTCCAAGCTTCTTTAATCGTCTTGTTATTTCTGTACGTATTCAGTGCGTACTGAGTGTTTACTGCATGTCAGGGTTGACTGCGCTGGGTTTGGGGAGTGTGGCAGTGAGGAAGACACCGCCCCCTGCCCCCACGCGGAGGAGACGGAAATAAGGAAGGAAACGGCCATGCGAGGTGTCGGTGACAGCACGGTCGGGGTGACAGGACGCAGGACGACAGCCAGCCTCCTCTTCTCTAAAGAGGCAGCTTCTGGTGGCAACGAAGCGTCAGTGCCAGTCGGACGAAGGATGGGGCACGGCAGGCGGAGGGCACGTGGGGAGTCCGGGGGACAGCACACTGTCCGTCGTGGCCACAGCCCGGCATCGGGGAGGGGATGCGGAAGGCGGGGAGACGAAGTGGAGAAATGCAGCTGGCAGAACAATCCGGAAGCAGAGCGTAAGCCTCGAGATGAGGACACGGGCTTGAGGCCATCTTGTGGGGAGTGACAGGTCTTGGTTCCTCTCCTTCTCCGTCCTGCCTCGTCCACGTCCACAGAAAGTCCCGCTTCTCTGCTTCTACAACACACCCCAGACCCCGCTCCTCACACCCACGGCCCCCCGGTTCCGGCTGATGTGAGTCCAAACAAGCCCCAGCCCGTTCCTTCGGCCCGGGTGACAGACCCTGCCGGTCCGAAGCAGTGCAGGGGGGCGGGGGCAAGGGGGTCCACCCCCGGGGGGCAGGCAGCCTGCTAACACTGAGCTGGGCGCTGCAGGTGAGGAATCCGGACCCGGTCCCTGTTCTAGTGCATGTTACTGTCCTCTGGAGGAGGGAGGAATTAATAAAAAGTCACATAAGTAACCGTAAAGCTCCAACAGTGGCAAGTGCTCTGAGGCACCTGCCAGGTACAGGTAGCATCTGGCCCAGTCAGAGCCTTTGACGGAGGATGTGTCCCTTCTAGACGGTCAGGGAACGCTTCTCCAGGGCGGTGCCCGAGCTGGAAAGGGAAGGGGCGGTCATTCCAGGCAGGGGGACCTGGAGAGGAGGACACGGGAGCCCGGGGCGCCCAGAGCACGGCAGGGGCCGTGTGTGCGAGCCCGGGCTGGAGAGGTGCGTTGGGCTCGGGGGCCCGAAGGCGTTCGTCGTCCTCCAAGGAGCGTGTCACAGTGGCTGATGTGGTGGAGACGGCTCGACTTTTGACAGGCACACTGCTCCTGTGTGGACACCGGGTCCGGGGTCCCTGGCGGGCAAAGGGGGTGTGGTGAGGAGGCTGTCGATGGGGTTTACGGGAAGAATCATGGGGCCCTGGAGCAGAGGTGTGACGGGGGAGCTGAAGAGAGCGGATGGTGTCTTTGGGAGAAACTGAGGTAAACCCGACAGAACCTGGGGATGGAGAGAAGTGTCCACGGTGAGCCCCGGAGGTCCCTCCCAGACCTGCCATCTGATACGTGGAACCCGGTGCACTGAGCTACGGGGGGGGGGGGGGGGGCGGGGGAGGCCGTCCCCAGCTCTGCGGTCAAGTGTTCGGTCCACACACATGAAGGTCTGTCATTGAAAGGAAGGAGAGAAGGGGTAATAGGGGACAGTCGGCATCTTCCATCGTAGGGAACCCACTAAACACTCGTAGGAAAACACCACACTCCACTCCAGTGTGGTCCTCGAAGACCTTGTGGCCTTTCCCTGAAGAGTGGAAGAATCCGAACCCTGTGTTGGGGTTGAAGGAGGGCCACTGTGCTCCTAGAGGAGATGCCCGGGCTGGGCCTCCCGAGTCCCCTCATACCACGGCTAAATGTCTTCAGCACTTGAGCTGACCGGTGGTGGGTTTCTCTAATGAGGGTGGGAAGGGAAAGCCTCCACTGGAGGAGAAAAATGGAGAGGATGAGGGGCGCCTGGGTGGCTCAGTCAGTTGAACGTCCGACTTCAGGTCAGGTCATGATCTCACGGTCTGTGAGTTCGAGCACAGGGCCCTGTGCTGACAACTGGGAGCCTGGAGCCTGCTTCGGATTCTGTGTGTCTCTCTCTCTGCCCCTTCCCTGCTCATGCTCTGTCTCTCTCTGTCTCAAAAATAAATAAAAACGTTAAAAAATAAAAATAAAAATAAAAATAAAAATAAAAATAAAAATAAAAA